GTCAGAGTGGAACAAGAGCCAGGAGAAATGAATCAGAAACTCAGCTCTGACCCTAAGTCGCTCTGTATCCTGGGGCCAGGCCTTACCTTCTTTGAGCTTCAAGTTTCTCACCTATAAAATGAAGACATGGTTGCCTAAGTGAACCCAGAGGGCTGCAATAAGGAACAGGACACACACACACACACAAGTGCACACAAGCACACACACACAGACTCACACACACTTTTTACAATGCTAAGATTGTAGCAGCTATTTTTTTTAACTTCAATCCAAAGATATTAGCAACTCTGACTAAAAGTAGAGACTGGCAGAAAAGGGCATCTGGAGGCCAGTTCTGGAAACATGGGGTGCAGGGCAGCTTCAGGCAGCTGGAGCTCTTTGGCCATCCATCAGCACCTCCCGAGACCAACTAGAGGGCTGCAAAGGAACAGGACACACACACACACACACAAGTGCACACAAGCACACACACACAGACTCACACACACTTTTTACAATGCTAAGATTGTAGCAGCTATTTTTTTTAACTTCAATCCAAAGATATTAGCAACTCTGACTAAAAGTAGAGACTGGCAGAAAAGGGCATCTGGAGGCCAGTTCTGGAAACATGGGGTGCAGGGCAGCTTCAGGCAGCTGGAGCTCTTTGGCCATCCATCAGCACCTCCCGAGACCAACTAGCTCCAACCAAGTTTCTGGCTTTGGACCAATCCCTCAAGGCCTGGGAGAGTGGCTGGCCAAGCTCGGGTTAGGTGGCCCTGCCTCTTGCTTATGGCAGCCCAGGCGGCCTTGATTTACAGTCCTACACTGAGTGTGCACAAACAGGAAAGTCAAGTCCCCAAGGGAACTCAGGGTGATGCTATCAGCATGATGTGGTGTGGCCAGAATGCACCAAACACCCACACGTGCACTACTGAGGGATAGTGGCCCTTTCCTTTGAATCTCAAGGTACTTCAGAGTGCAGGACACTAACTCCAAGATGCTTCTGTAGGCCTGATCTGTGAACCCCTTTGGAGAACATCAACTTATCAGATTCTTTCTACTCATGAAAGTTAGAAGAAAACTTTACAGAATGCCAAGTCTCCTGGTTTGTGGCCTTTGATACAGTGCAAGTTAAATTTCATAAAGTTTTTCCCTCATAAGTTGTCATCCCTAAGGGGGCAGGGCCAATGCTCTTTCTGCTCACCTCTGTATACATCTCATCTACCTCAGAACCAGTATATTCCAGGTGCTTAAGACACACTAAATAAATGGAGGAATAAATGACAGCATAAGGTGCTACAAGGGCCAGACAGATGAGGCAGCCCCACTCTGATCTGGGGGTAGCCCTTCCGTGCTGCCCTGTGTATCTGTCCTGCTAGGAGAGTCATTCCCATGGCCCTCCGAGCCATGCCCACTGGGACAACACCGAGGAGCCCTTCAATCTGTATAGCATCCAAGTCTGCAAAGCTCTCTCCTACTTATATCTGTGGTGTTCACAATGCCCAGCCTGTAAGACAGCCAAGTGTCACCGGCCCCATTTAACAGATGAAGAAATGAAAGCTGAGAGCCTCGCTTAAGGTTACACATCTAAGAAACTTCACACATCACACAAGCTTCAAGGCTGCATAATCTTCACTTCACATCATTCATGCACAGACAGACTACAATTTTATCATTAAAAAAAACCCTCAAGGTCCTCTTGCAAGCCCTAATTACAGCTTTCCTCTTCTTGACATCAATCAAGCATGTTACACCATGGTAAACAAAGGGACTCAGGAAAACAATGCATTAATTCAGTACTGATTCCACTGACTCTTCATGGTGGATTTTATTGTAGTGAAATCATTCCACTGTAGTTACTATTAACTACTAACCATTATAAGTAGTTTTCATCCAGTTTGGGTTGATTTCAGAGACAGAAAAAGAAAAAAGAGAGGGGCAGACAGACATTGATTTCACTTGCAGTATGGTTAACATTTTATTTTGTCTTGGAGTTTGGAAATGACAAATTAATTCCATCTTTTTCCCATTTTTGACTTGTGCTAGGTCAACTCCAATTTTTCCCAGACAGCAAATATTCAGCCTTTGACTCCAGGCACTCCACTTTGAACCCCACCTTCATAAACTGTCCCCTGATACAAGTTCCAAAAACCAGGTGATGATAAATGGCTGAAGAATCACCGATGACCTGACCACTTCTCTTGGGGAACAGCGTTGACAATGTCTCTTCAGAAATGGAATTGTATCCGCATGCTTAGAAACACAGTATAAGCCACTCACCCACATTACATGACTCAGGTTGGGCGAGAACCACATAGAGATTTAACAAACCCAGGGTGAGACACGAGGAGGAGCTGTCTGAGCCCAGGGGAACCAGTGTCTTCTTCATTTCTGTCACAAGTAGGCCCACAACACAGCAGGGACACACATCTGTCCTTTAGCAGCACCCAGAGCAGGGCTTAGTGCTTCATGTGTCTCGTGTACCCCATCTCATAATCCCTCTGAGGGAGTGACAAATGATATCCCTGTGCCCCACTGGGGCAATCAGCTCAGCAGAGGGAGGCAGATGGCCCACTGCATAGAAGTGGAGATGCTGGGCTTTACCTCTAGATGTGTCCACACAGAGTTTGAAGGGGACAAATAATGGAGACGTCCAGTGAAAGCTTGTGTTCTGTGAGCAAAGGCTTTACTATGCCTGGAAGAGAGGCACCCACTAACCCTCCCCAATCTTTTATGAGCATAAAAACCTAAATCCCTACTGCGCTTGAGTTCTTATACAAGTAGGAGTCCATGCGGGACAGCACATAACCTTTGCCCGATTCCCCACACAGGCACCCGACCCAGCTGCGCAGGGCTCTTGAGAAGGCTGGGCACACTGATTATGAAAGATTGGAAGCTGGAGGTAGGCACGAAAGCCAGCCCAGCGAGGCCAGTCTGAGGTCCAAGCTCCCCTCCATGAGCATCGTAACTCACACCTCTACTTGCAAGTCACTGGCAGAGGCAGAGCATGGCACGGAATGGGGTGAGTGAACCCAGGGTGGGAGTAATAGGATTTGAGCAATCACATGTGGTGATGAAATAGTCACAAACGACGAGGCCACCCTGTCAGTATGCCTGCGGGTCACACATCCATACCACTTCGTTACTTCACCCCTCCCTAGTCAATCACTGCCCACCCGTCCATCCCATTTGGTACTGCTGAGACCTCTAGGAGAATCTAGGAGGGAGCCGGGCTGCTGCTCTGCTCACACATCCTGGAGAAGCATCTGCCTTAAGCCCTGCAGAGAGAAACTTCCTCCTGACCATGACTTTATCCCGATTTCCAAGCAGATGTTCACCCAAATTCTCTGTGAAAAGAAAACTTCATGGTGATGAGGCAATGTTTCCAGTGCCTTCTTCTTGGGTGTTCTGCGAAGACTGGGCTCTTTGTCCACTTTGGCAGGAGGTGGAAGACTCCCTTCTCCTTATGCTTTGCTGTATTCATTCTTTGCATTCACTTAAAGCTTTATCATAACCTTATCCTTGTGTCCCTGTGGATAAAACTCCCAAGTTTCCCTGGCTCTCTGCCCACCATCCCATCCCATCCCAGAATAAACAACAGCTCACTTGTAAGAGGTTTTTAATTTCACCTTGGTATGCCATTAAGGAGTGGAATTAAGGATCTCTATTGATTTTCACTCACATAATATCTGCTACATTCTCCAATTGATCACTGCCACAGAAACCTGCTGAGCCATCCAGCATCTGTGTAATTTTCACTCATCAGGTTGGTTTGGGTTTCTTGGTGGTTTGCATAAATTATAAACAAAAATCACACAACACAGACACTACCATAAGGGCACATGTTCCCTCTGGCATTGCGGAGAATTGAAGGGGACACGCGGCTGAATTCAAGGCTCCAATGATGTCCTCAGGAATGAGGCCAAGCCTGTCACAGCCCCTCTCAGATGAGTCCCAACTGTCCCTCTGATTCCCTTGATGAGTGCTGCTTTCCCAAGAGGCCTCTCACACAGAAAGGTCCCATTCTAGCACCACTGTTGGGAACCAGAGTGTGGAACTGTCCTTGTGTGGGGAGCTCCTGGGTCTTCTGTGTCAGAAGGAAGAGCCTTGTTTCCACCTGTCCACTCTACTTCTCTAAGCCCCCAGAGGCTGTTTATAGAGACAAACCCTCTAGAAAAGAGACCATCCACATCCTTCTGTAAAGAGTTAGACAAGAAAGACATCAAATAGCTCTGGCTTGCCAAGGCATATACAGCCTGCCACCTGGTCTGCAAGTCACACTTTGTTTCCCCTGCTTGGAACACCACCCACACTCCTTCATCTCTCAGCCTGAGCCTCTTTCTCATGAGGGACTCTAGGATCCCTCTGAGTAGCTGTCACTGCCAGCACCAACTGTGCAGAGGAACTTGGTGGGCCTTTGGGCTCTAGGTACAGAAGCCTCCCTCCTCTGCAATGCCCAGTATCCTCCTGCACTGTCTGGGAGGGCGGGCAGGGGATCTGCTTGTACTTTAAAACAATATCAGATCTTAATCTTAGCCTTGCTCATGAGTCCTGGGGTGAAGCTTCAGTGTCTCCCAGGGAGGTAGGTGCATGCTGTCAGCCTTGTCCCACACTTGCAGAGGCTGTGGCTCAAGTGCAGATCCGGCCCTCCTAATGCTGCTCCAACACCTCAGGTAAGAATTCGAAAGAATCTAGGCTGTATATCTTCTGAGAAAATGATCAAGGCTTGCTCTGTCTCACTCAAGCCCATAAATCCAACAGCAAAGATAGCAAGAATCCTCTAGAACGCTGCCAGCCACACAGAGCTGCTTCCCAGACCTCAATGACACTCTGAAAACAGAATGAACTCAAACACTCGCAGCTACGGGGCCAGGTGGAACAGCCCTCTCTGCCCTGCCAACAAGTCTCTTCAAACTAAAAATAAAGTTTATAAAAGTAAATTATCTCATTTTATAACTTAAGTGTATCAAGCATTTCCTTAAATATAGTTCACACTGAAAATAAAGTTATTTTTGCTGTACAGTTGGTGTCTGTCATAATTAGGAATAAACTTTGATGATAAAGTAGGAAAAGTTACACACTCACGCGCACGCGCACACACACACACACACCTACCTATCTGTCTTTCTATGGGTGTGTAGATGGCAAGACATATGCACCTCTTGACAGGAGCTTCCCCAAAATGGTGGGAAGTTGTTGGGAGTCCCTAGGTATCTAGTTTGCATGAAAATGTCTATAATTAAAAGTCCCTGTCCTTAATGATAAACACATCTTCATATCTAATGCTAAGACTCTTATTAGAAACATTAAACTATGCAATCCATAATGTATTCAGTCTTTGGAAATGCCAAGCTACACCAAATCATTATACAACAGCATTCCCAACACAACTCCCTCCCCAGCCCACCTCTTCCTTGGCCTCCCCATCCTAAAGCCAGTGATCCCTCACATAATATGGTTGTTCCATACGGGAGCCTAGCCATAGAGGTGTAGGGTAGACTCAAGAGGTGAAGTAGGAATTCTGCATGGAGTACAGGTGGTCAATGGGGTTTCCCACTCTGGACTGCAGGGGCCCGGCTTCTGAGGTTGCTAGGAAACAGTCACCCAGGTTACTGAGGGAAGTGTCGTCGCTATCCAGGTCATGGAAAAGGGGCTCAGCACCTGAAATGGAGATGAAACACTGACATGAGGGTCTGGAAGAAGTGATTCCTTACAGTGCTAGGAAATGTAGCTGAATTCAACATGTGTGGCCTCGGGGGACACTGTCTACTGGGTGTCAGGGAATGGGTGGACATGGGGAAAACCATGTACAAAAGGAGGAGAGGCATAAACAATGGTCTTTCCAGGGGACTCACATCCCAAGTGCAACAACTGAACACAATATAAACTGGGTTGGAACACAAAGTTCAACTGAGTGCATCTTAAACCAGTGTTGGTCATCTAGGCAGCGAGAAAGGGGTGAGTGAAACTCATCACCAAAGGCTAGAGAGACAGAGTAGGGGCCCTACAGCACTTGGGCCTCAGAAATGGTTCATGGGAGGGTGGTAAGAAAATGAACATAAGGTGTTCGAGGAAGGCTAATGAAACCTCTCTTCCCCTTCCAATAGAAAGACGTATACAAGGCAGGATCAAAAACACAGTATATGTTTAAATCTTTTTGAATTATTGCAATAAAACACATTGCCATTTATCCCTCTCCAAGGCTCCCCCTTGCTTTTAATACATTATCCCATCATTCTTCCCCTTTCTGAAACATCTCTGCAAGTCCTGTTTTGTGCCTTTGCTAGTGCTGTCATGGCTGCTCCAATGTCCTGAATCCACTCAAAATGCCTACCTTCCACGTTCAATTTGACTTTGGAGAAGAGCTAGACATTGTGTGGTGACCGACAATGTGAAAAGAGCAGATGAGGACACGTTGTAATGTCATTGTCACTGGCTGGCATTTGGCAGCAGCACTCACTGTATCTTCTATCACACCTCATAAGGACCCTCATGAAATAAGACTTCTAGAACTGCTTCAGAAAGCGGCAGGGATGATGGGATCAGCGTGTTCAAAGCACTGTCTTCTGAACTTGAGAGTATTTTGAGTGGGATTTGTCCAATGTGTCTGTTGCTGTAATAACATTGTTTTAAACTGGCAATAACCCCTTTTACCTTGTACCTTCTGTCTCCCCCAGTTTGTACGACACAGGAAAGGAAGGTGTAGTGCCTCTCCTCAGCTAACATGCACCCCAATGGAGGAGCCCATAGGGCACCCTGGGGAGCATCAGAGGAAGCTCTGCAACCGGACCCTGAAGGGGAAGTACGTCTCACCAGCGCTTCACATAAGCAAGACAGGTGCAAACTGGCCTTTCTAAAATTTGCTGTGGACTTTCACTTCTCATTCCACTATAGGACTTATTACCAAAGTCTTTTCTGTAACAAGACCCCCGAGACTCTGAACATGTAAGGATTTAAAAAAAAAAAAAACCTCATTTACCATTTTCCCACAGCCAGGGGTTGAAGCATGATCCAAATGTGATATGTGCCTTTTTAAAAAGTGAAAAGGATATATATCCTAGGAACATGCATACATGGATCTTCAGATGCATGTGTGAGCAAGGTCAGACCATGAGGGCCTTGCAGAGAGTGGGATCTCAGTAGAGGATTCCTGAAGCTTTTTTCATTAAGATCCTCTGTCTTGTTAATGTGAGTTAACAAGGCTTGCATTTCTCTTACTAATGTCTTGAAGGATTGCTGAATAAAGCTACTTTTTGTTATAAGGATAGTTTATTACAGCGCATACTGCATATCGCACCAATGCCTTACTCTTTGATTTTCTCTGTATACAATGCTATGGCCCGAGTTTGACCCTGAAGCTGAGCTTTCACCTTCTACTCCAAAGTTTGCCCTACCCTACCCTGTCTCCATGCCTCACAAGCTGAATGTTGATTTAAGCAGAGATCTGGGCAAGTTGGGGAGGCTCAGCTAAGGAGCTATGAAAAGAATAAATGGAGACATCACTGATGAACATGAATGCACATCTTTCTCCTGAAGGCACTGGGCAGGTGACTCCAGCCATATTTTGTGAGACAGACGTTCTGCATGGGAACCTCAGTGAGCATCTGGGAAATGCGTAGATGGGACTGGGAAGGAACAAGAACCCTGCACAGGCAAGATGTGAGAGGGCCCCATAGGTATTGTGTCTTTCTTACCATAGGGATGCATGTGGTCTCCAGGCATCTGGGGTGGGGTGAGACCCTGCCGGAAGGGATCAGAGCTGTAGACACTCTGTTCGATGGCCAGGAGCTGCTGTGGGGTTGGTAGAGCTGTGTAGGGGTTCATGATCCCTTCCATGCCAGAGCTTCCACCACCATTTGTCTGAGCTATGGGGAAAAGAGGAAGGCAGGTCATCGTCAGTTTGCAGCCCAGCACCCCAAACCAGATGTCACATCCATCACTGCCAGGTCCTCAGTGTCATCTCATTTCCAGGGCTGCTTAAGTGTCCCTGTGCCATGGCAGAGCAAGTGACCCAAGAGGCCACCAGGCAGAACACATCATGGCTTTTACAACCTAGCCTTGGAGTCACGCTCTGGCTCAGACTTACTCGGTACTGCTGGTGATTACAAAAGGACACAAACACCAGTTGGTAACACTCATGGAAGGCCACTTTGGAGGCTGGTGAATGAGCATGTTGTGTGACTGCAGATAAAATTATTTTCCCGGGTCTTACTTTCCTCAGTTACAAAACGGAAGGGGATACGGTGATATCAGTGGTTCGCAGCCTGGGCCTTACGGAGGCACCATTACCTAGGAGGTCAGGGGTGGTGTGGGATCTGAGCAACTGAGCTGTGAGAGCATCTCTGCACCACATCATTGAAATAAAGGGGTTGTCAACCACCGGAGTGGATGAATCTAAAGACACAGCCAATAGCACACTGTGAGCCCATGAGTCAGGTGGGAGTCACGCTCCTGGATCAGCTGACCTCCCAGGGCTGATGCGAAGAACTGCACCTTGCTACACTTTTGTAGCTTATGAGAAGTGGAATCAGGTCCTGTCTCCACATCCTTGATATGAATTCTATTAACTCACAGTCTATATTTCCCCCATTCTCCGCTTTTTTAAGTCTACTCTAGGAGTTGGCCTGATAATTCTTTAAACAAAACCCCAAGCTCTACCACTCCATGCCCTCCCGGTGGCTCAGTCTGTCCTTCTTCCTTTGAACTTGTTGGCCTATCTGGAGTCAACTTATATGGGTCTTACTAAGGCCCACTCATATCTGTGACTGTCTTTGAACATTACAGAGTCCCAGTGATACAGAGCTAGCAGATATTACTACCCCACCCTAAGGATCCATAGCCTGAGGCACAAGGATGTGGAAAAGTAGACTATAGATCAAACAGCATTGTGGGTACAGCTGAGAACAGAATTCAAGTCTCCTGAATAGCTTGCCGTTTATCCTTCCCCAGCTTTCATATGCATGTATCAATCCTCTCTATTAATATCTACCTTGTTAAAATACCTTTACGTTTAGGGGATAAGAAACTAACGGAACTCTTGCTGCAAGAGTCCAGTTCTGGATTGAGCCTAGGCCAGGGATCAAGTACAGCTCAGAGTCTATGCAAGGACAAGGGGCCCTGTAGAGGGGCCTGAGAACACACCCTTCAGAGGGCCATCCACCGACCATGCAGGAGCTTCTGAAAAACTCAGAATCTCAGGACCCAGACCCTTCTTGTGAGCTGGAAAATGCACTTCAAGATTAAAGATGTTCTATGTGCATACTAAAAATGTAAGAAGCTCCACTCCAAGGTACAGACCATCCAAGGAATTCTCAGGGATAACTGAGATTGTGTGTGAGGGGGCACATTCCTTTAAGAGTGACGTTGTTCTAATATAGTAATTATGGCTGGGGATTTAGCTCAGCGGTTCAGTGGCCTGCCTTGCAAGGACCCGAGTTCAATCCCCGATACCAAAGAGTCCCACAACTTCTCCTTCTTCCCTCTCTTCCCCAATCTTCTTACCACCATCCCTACTTTAAAAAAAATTAAGGTCATATCTAGGTAAGGATAAGTTAAGGCAGCATAGCTGAGAGGAATACGAAATCAGAAAGATGAGTTTTAATCCCAGTTCCTCTCCTTATTGATGTAGGACCATGCCCTGATTTGTGAAGCCTTTGTTTGATCACCTGTGAAATGAGAATAATAACTTCTCTGCTCACTTCATGTGGTTTTAAGACCTTGCTGATTGAGAATACTCTTCAAAATATAAAACTTCGGTAAAGGAGTTGATGACTATTTTACCACTCTTGTTTTCACTATTTTGGAAAGATACTATGGTTTGGATCTTAAATGGCCTCAAAAGCACATATGCAAAAAGCTTGGTCACCAGCCTATGGTCCTGCAACCTTCAGGAGGTGGGACCTCATGGGAATAAGTTGGGTCATTGTGCATATTCCCTTGACAGGGAAATTTCAGTCCCTTCTTCTCTCTTTTTGCTACCTGTCTACCAAGTATTAGCAGCTCTCCTCCTCCATCCTTTCTCTATGATCTTCTGCCTCACCCACAGCCCCAAAAGGCAACAGGACCAAGCTAGCATAGACTGAAACCTCTGAAACCATGCGCCAAAACACATCTTTCCACCTTTAAATTGATTATCTCAGGTACTTTTGCCACAGTGGCAGAAGGGCTGACACAAGGGTTAAGTCAGTTTGTATTTTATTAAACTGATTACCTGGAAGGAGGACAGGGCACAATAAGACACAGGACACGCTTGTGACTCTGTAGACCTGATCTACATGACCCATGGGGAGTGGCCGTAAATACAGGGAGCTTGGATAAGGCTAAGCCACCTCCAGTCAGCAGGTCTAGACTGTGGCTCACATATCCTCAACCCTTGCAAGTTTCTGGTAGCTCAGTGCTCGCTCCAAGGCCTTATCTCTCAGTGGGTGTGGGTGGGGCTTCACTGTGAACAGATAGGTCACTCCAGGCATTGAGCCACCAGCTTACCGGAACTGAGCCTCTGTGTGTTCTGCTGGTCTTGCTGCTGTTGCTGCTGCCGCCTGGCCAGCTTCTTCATCTGACAGGGGAGGACCACAGTGTTAGGAATCAGGGAAGCATCAGCTCATGCCCACACCATGGGGGGAAAGGGGAGAAAATCCTCCACCCTTGGTAAGAGAGTGATTTGTAAACCAGAGGGAGTGTTCCCAAGCTTTTGTTCAGCCAAGGAGCTATCTCCCAGGGATGAGCACCGCGAGTTGGGTACCTCACAGCTGAGGCTTCTTATACTGTGCAGTGGGAACACATCTGGGCATGGTACATTTGTCTTCCCAGAAACAGATTTCCTTCAGCTTACGCTTGAACAGCTTCGTGTGAGGTAATAACTATACAAATGTGTATGTCCCAGCTAGGACAGATGTGGAGCCAGGGCTGCCGATGAGGTGTAGGATGGGCCAAGAGACTTCTCCCTCCCCTCCCCTGTCTCCTGGCCCTTGTGTTTGAGACACTTCCCTGGAGATTCATGCCTCTAGGTAGGAAGTAGATTTTAAACCAATGTTTCTCAAACTGTGTTAGCAGAACATTAGGGTTCTGTGAGATGTTAACATATGTGCTTTCTGTGTTTTATTGTGTGTGTGTGTGTGTGTGTGTGTGTGTGAGAGAGAGAGAGAGAGAGAGAGAGAGAGAGAGTTGGGGAGGGAGAGAGACAGAGAGGGAAGCACTCGATTTAAATTTTTTATTGCAAGCTTTTTTTCCATATTTAAATGTGTTCCTCTGCTTTATGACTCCATAGTATAGTAGGGTCTCCCACATCTACTGTCCCAAGGAGTCTTTTTCTAAAGGACTAACTCACCAACAGCCCTATTCTGAAAAATTCAGTTATGGAAGTGCTACATTAACCAATCATGATCAAATAAGGGCATTGTAATCACCCACTGAAGACCAAAATAGTAGGGGAACAGGCCAGGACATGCGTAGGAAGATAAATGAGCAAAAGTTCAAAACAAAGACTGCGTTAGGGGAACCCAGGCATTGATGGGATTTGGAGGACAGTGTGATGATTTGGGGCCGTGGCACTAAGGGGCAGTCACTGGAAGATGGGAGTGAGGACATTTGCCCCACTGTGCCAAAATGTTGTCTGAGACAGTCACATGGTGCGTTTGGGGTTTCTCTTTGAAATTTTATAAGAACTTTGGTATCTAGATTAAATAAATACAAGTTAAAACAAATATACAGAATATGGCTTTATGCAAAGACATTTATTTATTGAAAGAGCTGGCCAGGTTCACATTCAGAGTCACTAGAAAAATAAAAGTCATTTCACCAAAACAAATGCCAGAGAGCTTCTGTGGCTGAAATAATTGTTGATAGCAGAATTTTTTCATTAAGACAGCTTCTCTGTCCAGTGAGTCCAGGTTAGAAAGCCTGGCCCCAAGTCTAATACCCTACTGCTAGTGTTTCAGAAAACAAGAAACGCAGAGACCCATAAAAAGAGGAAGCAGAATTACCTTAGCTCTCTGGTTCTGGAACCACACCTGGACAACACGGACACTCAGCCCCGTCTCTGCAGCCAGAGTCTCCCTCACCTTGAAGAATGCAAACATGATCAGCATAGAAACCCTGGCAGAACACATCCTATGCACTCCATGGGGAGGCCAACAGGCAGATCTTACACCACGGTTGTCCCAAACCTTTTTGTTGTACCAAGGACCAGTTTTGTGGAAGATATTTTTTCCATGGATCCGGGTGGAGCGGGGCGCAGAGGTGGGACAGGGTCTGGGGATGTTTCGAAAGAGCACACGACCTAGGTCCTTCACATGTGCGGTTCACAGCAGGGTTCTCAGCCCTCTGAGAGTCTAAGGAGCTGAGCTGTGCTGACAGAAAGTGGAAGTCAGGTGGTGATGTGACACCCAGGGAAGGGTTGTAAATACAGATGATGCTTCACTTGCTCACCTGCCACTCACTTCCTGCTGCTCTGCCCAGTTTCTAACAGGCAGGGGGGATGGGGACCCCTGTTATGCAGGACTAGCGAGAGGTTCACTCCTGTCATCATAAAGCCAAACACAAGAACCTCCTTTCAAGTAGAGAGGCGACCTTTACCAGGTAACAAAGAAAGGAACCCCCATTATTTAAATAATGCATGTTTCCAGAAAGTATTTCTGGGTTTTCTTTGAAATCCGGCCTTCAAAGGGTTCTTAGATATCATCGAAGACCACTGTGTTGTAGCCATGGAGAGTTGAAGTGAAAGATTACTTTGCAAAATGGTTCTCTACTGTTCTCTTCACTTGTCTAAATTCACCCACATTCTTGGTTTTCTCCCTCTAGCTCTAGGTGACTTTGAGTGTTTTCTATTATTCATATTTTGTATTGTCCTGAGCAATCCCTTTGCAGAGAGCCATCTGGAAGCTGGCAGAGCCAGGTGCACAGCTCTGATGTGGCACCTGCACTGGGGCTGCACAGAAATGAGGACAGTAGAGATCCAGGTAATAAAGAGATGAGCCAAAACGTCTGCCGGCCATCCAGGCACATGGTAAGGCCTTGGAAAGACAGTGAGAGGGGAAAGGACAAGCAAGGACAGGCCTTCATGGAGTGGGCCTGAGAGACTCTGCCCACTCCTGATGAATTCCAGAGGAGAAGAGACTCAGAGAGGCTCCTGAATACACACTTGAGCTGAGCAACTGCAGGCCTTGGGAAATACTTTACTTTTCTCATGCCTCTTGGTTGAGGCTTAGAAGAGTGATGATTAGGCCAGGTTTTTAAGGCACATCCTTCTGCTAAGCCACTTACAACAGAAGTACACACAGGCCCCCTTGCACCTGTTGACACCCTATCCATGTTCAGAGGCCCAGCTCAGAAATCACCTGCTTCACAAAGCCCTGCAGAGTCCCTAGGCACAAGTGACCTTTTCCTTCCTGCAGCTCCCCTGGCCCCGATATGTCACCAGGGCTGTTCCTGGTGTTACAGTGTGCATCTCCTCCAAGCAGCTGGCTGGAAGCTGCCTGGGGACGAGTACTTGGCACAAGGCCATTGACAGGGTAGGAGTGCACAGAGAAGAAGTGGGTAAGCAAGACAGTTAGGATTTTATATTTCACTCTCTATAAGCACCTCTCTGGAAATGTAGGGAGCTGCAACAGTAGGGAAAGGACAGCTCTGCAGCTGAGTGCTTACAAAAGTCAAAGTTGTGGCAAAACATATATTGTTCCACAATTATCTAAATTACCCCTGCCCTGTCCATGTGCATATGCGCAGGTTGAGGGGAGCTTCAGCATCGCTACCATGTAAGGCTAAGCCCCGTTACTTACTTAGGACCGTGGAACACAAATGGATGTGATCATTGTGGTATCCAGAGAGAGGCTTTCCACAGGCTTCCTGCTCTGACATGGCCGCTTGCTTTATGCCATCCTCATGAGAACAGTGTGTGTGTGTGTGTGTGTGTGTGTGTGTGTGTGTGTGTGTATGGGGGGTGCTGCTACTTCAGCCAAGACACACAAATGAGGTACTGGGGGAGCAGGCCCAACAATGAGCTCTGCAAGGCCACAACCCACGTCCAGAGCAGGGACAGGAAATAAATGTTTATTGGGAGCCACTGAGACTTTAGGTTGTTTCATCCTCACAGGGCAAGGTGACCAATACAGAAAGGGATGTGGAAAAAATTCAATAGTAATTTTACAAAGCTATTTCTTTTATGAATTTGAAAAAAAGAATGCTTTCGTCTATTTTTAGCGTGTAAAAAGATAGCACACAGTGTGTGGTTGGCAGTCCAATAAATTGTGAGTGCTCAGCGAAAGGAGACTGTTATTTGTGGCAGGAACTGCAAACTGCCCACAGGGCCTGTCTTCTCCCTCCTACCAATGCCTGAATGCCGGAGTTTTAGCAGGGCACATGGAAACCCAGGCAGAGCTATTCTCCTGCTTCTCTTGCAGGAAATATGGCTCTCAGATTCAATTTTTACCAAAGTATTTTAAGTGTGAGCTCACCCTGGGTATATCCTTAAAAAGGCAGCTGCTTGCCTGCCCTCCACTTTCTCTTTCTCTGCCCTAGTGGATGGAAAAATGGAAACAACTGGTGACAGCCCTTGGACTCCCATGATACATAACAGAGCTGCCCCATCAGTTTTGCCCTGCTCTCCATTGGACGGTTATAGATAAGAGAAAAATAAACTCTTATCTCATTAAGCCACTGCATTTTTTTTTCTACAGATGTTCAAAGCAGCCTTATTTTTAATAGCCCGATGATGGATACAACCCAAACTCCTATCAGTGGACAACTGGAAAAAAACCACGGCATCCATACAACGAGTGGAATACCATTCAACGTAGGAAATGAACTACAACACGGGTGAGTTCCCCGTTTACCACACCACTGGGATCAAGCCAGGTCCCCACCACTACTACCACCCAAAACAGTACATCTTGCAAGCCATCATATTTTTATATTCTGTATTACAGCATCTTGGTATATATCACAACTGATACTTATTGCTATTATTATTACTATCATTCCCATTGCTCTCCAGGAAATGAAAGGTATGAGGGAGAGCCCTTTGGGGGAGATGAGCACACATGCAGCCATGAGGACACTGGGTTGCTTCCCTGGCCATAGCTTGGCAGTCCCTGGAGTCTTCATCAGGGCTCTCCACCTGCACAGGCTGTGTCTGATCAGCTTTCCCTGCCACTCAGGCCTCTGGGACCCCTAGCATCCGGGGGGTGGGCCCTGTTCCACTCCCTCCCCTCTCCCCTGCTGACCTTCCTGCAGGGCTTGGAGGACACTTCAAATGAGGCCTTGAATGCTCTCCTCTGCTGCGTCGTCAAAATGGTTCTGGGACGTTTGGGACGTTTATGGTCCTTGCCATCCTCAGTGGCTCCTTTCCCTGCTCCCTGGGCTGACTTGCAAAGACTTTCTTCATCATCACTTTTGCCTAAAAGAAGCAGAAAGCAACATCAAGCACCCCCGAAAGGTACCTTCAAGAGCTGAATGTAGTTGCATGACAAGGCACTCGAATGCCATGTGTGTCCCCAGATGGCTTTCACACATGGGTGCTATGACCTGAGTACTACTGATGTGCAAGATTCCAGGAAGAGGCCAAGAGAAGCATATCCAAAGCCCAGAGGCAGGAACCAGAAAGTCCTCATCGTGCCTCAGCTATGATGCCTCGGCTCCACTTTTACCAGCTACACAAGGTGATGGAAATATATGGCAAATTAGAATATAAAAAGAACTCAAAACAATCAGCACCCCCAAATATAAAGACCCAATTCAAAAATGGGCATCTGAAATGAAGAGACATTTCATAGACAAAGAAGTAAAAGCAGCAAGTAAATATGTGAAAAAATGTTCCATATCACTGGTCATTCAAGAGATGCAGATGAAAACAACACTGAGATTCCACCTCACCCCACAAAGAATGGCTGCAATCAAGAAATCAAACAATAACAAATGTTGGCGGGGTTGTGGGGAGAAAGGAACCCTTCTCCATTGTTGGTGAGAGTGCAGACTGGTGCAACCACTATGGAAATCAATATGGAGAAACCTCAAAAAGCTGGTCCATTTGACCCAGCCATACCTCTGCTGGGTATCTTTCCAAAAGAACTAAAAGAATCATATCACAGTGATGTATGTGCACCCATGTTTATAGTGGCACAGTTTGTAATAGCTAAAACTTGGAAACAGCCCATTTGCCCATCAGTTGGAGACTGGATAAAGAAGATTTGGTTTTTCTATAAAATGGAATATTACTCAGCCATAAAGAATGAGACATTAGATTCATTCATAGGAAAATGGATACATATTGAGAATATACTCCTAAGTGAAATAAATAAGTCACACATGTAAATACCGAATAGTTTCTCTGGTGTGAATAAACTGTAATAGTACATAAGATCCTAATGAGATAACTGACATTGTGAAATGCAAAGCAAGGGGCTAAAGGTGTAGGGAAGGTGGGATGGGTAGGGGAAGGGTAATAAGGGAAAAGAAAAAAATGGGAGAAAATGAAAACATGGAAATAAAATGTTTGTGAATGGGGAGGGGAGGAGGGGGTAAAGGGAGCGCAGGGACAAGGGGAAAAATGGGAACCAAGACCTGTCATGTAGAGGTACAAGATCCCAGTAATGAATGTAACTGTACTGTATTCCTAAAATGTACCACTAAATTCAATTATTTAATAAAACGAAAAAAGAAAAGACACAGTGCTGCTACTCCTGCTCAAAACACTTCTTCTTGCTTTGAACATACTTAGCCCATGTTCCTGCCACTTTCTGAAACAGTTCTAGAAGTCCTGTTTCCAAAGAGGCTTTACAAGGTGTAATCAAAACTGTGGTGAATGCTGCTGCTGAGCACCATCCAACAGAAAGGCGCATTATAATGTGTCCTCATGCACCTTATTCACAAAATCCGGCACCAGGCGACTTCCGGCTCATCCCTAAAGTAAAAATGACTGTGAAAATGCAATGTTTTACATCAATGCAGAACTCAGAAATAGCCACAGTAGCACAACCGAAGACGCTCCCTAGAAAGCACTTAGACAACTGCTTCAGACAGTGGCAAGAAGGAGGGGATGGAGCATTAGAAGTGGGGCTGAGTATTTTGAGAGAGATCAATGACAACGCACCTTTTACTGTAACACATTTTTTGAAAATTGAAAGATTCGTTGTATTTTTCAGCCACACCTCATAGGTAGCCTTGGCAAGTTAAATAACTTCATAACTCAATTATTCCACCTGCAGAGTTGTGCTGCAAGAGAATCCGCTTCCCTGGGGTTGCTGTAGGGGTCATACGAGTTTACACCACTAAGACCATCCAAACAGAGCTTGGCAAATGAGAAATGCTCCATAAGTTTTGATTGTTCGTGTGATGTGTTAGATAACATTTTCAAAATTAGAGCTGGAGGAGTTATGCCTCCATAGAGGCAGTGTCCAAAATTCTAGCCACCGCCAGAGGTAGGAAATATGACGTATGAAAGGCCATCAATGAACAGAATTAGACTTTACCTAGGACCACAGACAACTGAAGAATGACCAGATAACACCAACGATCCATCAGTACCACCTGTCTATAAAAGAAATAACTCTCTACTAAAATAATATAAAACCATAAGCACTCCTTCAATGCAATAAGCAGAGAGGAACATGGGGGAACTCTGAAAGGGCATAAAGCCTCTAGGGAATGTCACATTTTACTTACTCCTGGCTGCCTTCTGTATCCATGGACTTCACATCCATGCGAAAGTGCTGCGAGGGTCTAGAAATACCCCTGTGACAGAGACTTCTTTCTACATGGGGCACTAAAATCTATAGGCAGTGGTGTCTCCATTTTCCTAAGAATCTCTTTCGTCTCTGGTCTCCTGAAACTGCACTGTCTTCCTTCCCTCAGTGAAAACCTTGGCCCCAAGGGCTTCCCCTGCTCCAGGCCTTCTGCCTACCTCAGGAAAGCACGGATGAGGACCACAGTCATGTGCCATACACCTTCCTTCTTACTCCCCCTGCCCCTGCACTGGATGCCCCGTTGTATATGCTGTTTTGGTTTTATATTAGCTGAAACCTAATGTTTTGGCTCTAGCAGAGCCAGGAGACTTATTCAATCCAAAAGAGCAGTGGCTTTTTCTTTCTATGGAAATTGAGACAAACACTGTCAATTCTCAGTCATGAGATACCTGAACTGGAAAGAGACTGAATCAGGCAGGTACTCCCAGCCCTGACTCAAAGTAGGGCCCTATGCTGGTTCTATGATGTCTCCAGCCAGCTTCATCTGTCCACTGATGACAATAACACCCACCCTGATGGTGACACAGTAACACTGCCATGTTCAAAGCACACATGCAGTGCTTAATAGATGTTGCGGAAAGGTTGACTTTTCCCTCTGTCTCATCACTCTTAAGAGTACAAACAAAAGACTCTGAAAAATTCCACTATGTCACTACCACGTCCTCCTGCCAGGGGTAACTCCTGGTGCCTTTGCCTCTGAGGTTGCTCTTTCTAAGCGGGGGGGTAAGAGGAGTTGGCCAGCCACACTTGGGGGAAGAGGTGGAAGGGTCTTCCCAGAAGGAAATTTTGAGAAGAGGAAGAAGAAAACAAACCTTGAAGAACTAAAAGTCTTGGGGAAATAAGACATCCTGAGAGCTTAAAAGGTAGAAAAAAGAAAGCCCCAGTCAGCAGATTCACTCTGAAGGCCCCCTCATCTGGCTGCTTGGAGCCCCCCCCCAAGTCCCAGTGTTTGATGCTGCAAATTAACCTCCCTGGTGGGATGAAGAGGCCGTTCCTTGGGCATTAGTGATCTTTCAGGAACATTTCTAAGGAAACTGAGCTGATTTTCTACCCCAAGAGGCACACAGATCTCTTCTAAGGCAGGTAACTCTAAATGCTCAACCTTGAGAAGAACTGAGAAATTCTCAGTACAGAATACACTTTCAAATGAAATTGTATTATCTTTGGAAACCAGTCTTATACCAATTTGGTCAGTAAAATGCTATGTGCAAATGTCTTAGAGTTACACTGTGATTCTTTTACAATCATTTCTCATATAGATTGAGGCAAATGTGTATTATTAGTAAGTTGGATAACATATCCATGAAAACATAAACTTTAGAATAATGACAGTAGTGCATAGATATTAGCAATGCGACAAGATGTCTACAACATGGGTTTTGGATTCAGATAAACTCTGGTTTCAATACTAGCTCTGCTGGTCATGTGGGAGTTTGAACACATTCCAAAGACTCAATTCTCTCAAAGGGAACGTTGTTAAATGCTGTAAAATGGAATTAAGTGAGATCCTTTATGTGAAGGGTTTAGAACTGGCTAGAATACGATAGGTACTCTTTGAATAGAGATCATCATTATTACTGCAACTCAAAGGACATATTCTTGGTCCTAAACTTTTACATGCTCTCAGTAATGCTCTGATATCCATGGGAGATTTCAGTCAAGGATATATTCTACCAGTGTCCATTTTTCTCTGTCTGTCTCTGCCTGTCCCTCTCTGTCTCCCTCTCTCCCTCTCTTTGGACATGACCCTAGCCAACAGAGAGATCTGGTCTTGTGCAGTCCAAGTGGGTGGGTACTTGGACAATGTGGAGAAAAAAAAAGAGGGAGAGGCAGCTGAAGCTGGTCCCAGAAGGAAAGTGCAACTTCTAAACTTCTGTTCAGAAGCAGGAGGGTGAGGGCTTCTGTGTCCTACAGCTGTCAGTGTAATTGCTTGGCTGAGGGCAAGAGCACATTTCTGAAGAGCTGGTAACGACAGAGGACGTGGGGGCGCTGGCTCCTAGGGTCACTCTCAGTGCCTGACTCTGGAGGACGCTGAAAGCCCTGTAAGAAGATGGGAGAAGAAAACACAGTTGTGTCCAAGAGGAAGAGAAAGGGAATGCATAGGGAAAGATGAGGAGAAAAAGAAGAAGGATCAGGAGTGTTTGCCGTGGGAGAGCTTTCATTTGTGTGGTGTATTTTCTCCCTCCGACTCTTCCTTCCCACCATTCAGCATCTCATTCCTTCTCTCTCTTCAGTTCCCCCATTTTCCTTCTAAGAACACTGTGCTCCAGAGCACAAGTCTCTGAGCTCTACAGTAAAATTCCAAAGAGTGAATCTTTTAGCCTTTGCAAACCCTGTGGTCTCTGCCGCACCTACGCAGCTCAGCCACTTCAGCACCTGCAGCCCGAGGGAGTCCAGAGCAACACGAACGGTTGTGTCCGGTTCCCAGTAGACCGCCTTTCACAGGCAGGCACCGGGCTGAGCCCTGCCCTAGACCCCTCTGAACTCCTGTTCTCCATCAAAACTCCCCCGTTCTTTGTCCCACTGCTTTGGGCTTGAGCTCTGGTGCAGGAAGCACTGCTCATCTGTGATGACAGGCCATGCGGAGTCAGGTAGCAGGTCTGGTGTACTCCCTCCCACAGCTCGGTACCTGAGCACTCACCAGTATGGATGTTCA